TAGGTGTTTGGAGTGGCTCAATCGGCAGGTGTTTGAGTCGCTCGGTTGGTAGGTGCTTGAAGTCTCTGGTCAGCAGGTGCTTGGAGTGGCGGGGTGTGTAGGTGCTTGGAGTGGTCCAATGGGTAGATGGGAAGGTGCTCGGAGTTACTCGGTCGATAGGTGCTTGAAGTGGCTCGGTGGGCAGGTGCTTGGAGTGGGTCGGTGGGTAGGTGCTTGGAGTGGTTCAGTGGGTAGGTGCTTGGAGTGGCTTGGCGGGTAGGTGCTTGGGGTGGCTTGGTCGGTAGGTGCTTGGATTGGCTCGGTCAATAGGTGCTTGGAGTAGGTTAAGGTGCTTGGACTGACTCAGTCGGTAGGTGCTTGGAGTGGCTCGGTCGATAGGTGCATGGAGTGGCTGACTCGGTAGGTGTTTGGAGTGGATAGACGGGTAGGTGCTTGAAGTGGCTCGATGGGTAGAGGTTCCTGGCGACGCTTGGTCGGTAGGTGCCTGGAGTAGTTTGATCAGTAGGTGTTTCGTGTGGCTAGGTCGGTGGGTGCTTGGAGTGGTTCGGTTGGGAGGTGCTTGGTGTGTAGGTGCTAGGATTGGCTCAGGGTGTAGGGGCTTGGTGTGGCTCAGGGTGTAGGTGCTTGGAGTGATTCGGTCGGAAGCGGCTTGGAGTGGCTCGGTCGCTTGGTGCTTTGAGTGGCTCGGTCGCTTGGTGCTTGGAGTGCCTCGGTCGCAAGGTGCTTGAGTCACTCGGTCGGTAGGTGCTTGGAGTCGTTGGGTCAGTAGGTGCTTGGAGTGGCTTGGTCGGTAGGTGCCTGGGTTGGCTTGATCGGTAGGTGCTTGCAGCGGCTCAGTGGTAGGTGCTTGGAGTGGTTCGGAGTGTAGGTGCTTGGAGTGGCTCGTGGTGTAGGTGCTTGGTGTGGCTCATTGGGTAGGTGCTTGGATTGGCTCTGTCGGTAGGTGCTTGAGTCGCTCAGTCGGTAGGTGCCTGAAGTCGTTGGGTCAGTAGGTGCTTGGAGTGGCGGGGTGGGTAGGTGGTTGCAGTCACTTAATGGGTAGGTGCTTGCAGTGGCTCGGTGGGAAGGTGCTTGGAGTGGCTCGGTGGGTAGGCTCTTGGAGTGGCCCGGTGGGTAGGTGCT